GAGAAGGCCCTGGCCAGCCCTCCACGTCCTTGAAGGAGGGTCAGGCCCAACCTACATGCTCCTGCCCAGACTCTACACAGAGCTGGTGGGGGCAGGAAGCCAGGGACAACACTGCAGAGTCCCAGAAAGCAGAAAACAGCCTGCATGCGTTAAATTTTCAAAATATGAAACATTTTTACAATCGCTCAGTTTTGGTTGGACTACAGTTTTTTCAGTATGCATTCCTGTATTTTTTATAGAAAGATTTACCTGGGAAGAAACCCAGGAGGGCAATTCTTTGCTCGGTAAAGGATGAGGTACGTGCAGCTCCAGGGTCCTGCCACCAAACACCCAACCATCACCCCATCAGTGTGAGCGCGACGAGCACTGTACAGGCCCTTCTTCGAGGAAAACATTGGAATCCCCCTTATGGAAAGCTACATGAGCCCGCAAATAACATTAGAAAAATAAACCTACACCTCATTAGAATTTAGACATTGCAGGGAATAATGGGGTCAAAGCTTTGTAGCCACACGAAGACGGCGTGGGGAGATGTCAGTCAAGTTCCTGCAAAAGCAAGCCAACTACTCTTGAACAGGACAGTTGTTGATGGAAACTTGATACTGGCAGGAAGTTATAGAGTTGAGATTATACTACTTCCCAAATGGATATCCTGCATTCAAATATTTTTAGGAAGGGCAAGGTGAGTAATGTTACCGATACAAAAAGAAATCAACGATCAATGTACGAAGCCACCTAAACAGGTTAAGTAGACTGATGTGGGGAACAGGAATCCTACTCCGTACAGAAGTACAAGTGAAATTTAACTGCAGACAGACGTCAGTGGCCAACTTCCAATTCAGCGACTGAACAAAGCAGCATGTCTCCAGGAGATAAAGATCCCAGTACTCACAAGCACTCAGGAAGGAAGGGGAGAACAGGATCCCAGCATCATTAGGATGCTCTGCTCAAAACCCCCTTGGCCACTGTCCATCAGCAGAGCTGGAGAACACGGCCTTAGGGGGCACACAGGGCTCTACCTGCAGAAAGCCACGCTGGGGGCGGGGGGGGGGCTCCCCCTAGGGTGGGCAAGGGCAGCACCTAATTCTACTAGACAAAAGGAATCCTAATCAGAAGTCTTTCCATAGGAGGACCCTGGAGGGCATGGTAGGGGAATTTATCCACAACCTGATGAAGGAGTCCTACTAATCCTGCACCTAATGCTTTCAGAGTGAGGGAACCCTTCCAAACTCACTTCATGCCAAGACACTAACCTGAATGCCAAAGCCTGACAAACACAGCACAAAAAAATTACAGACTAACATCCCTCGTGAACGTAAACACGTTAAGTCCTAAACAAAATACTAAATCTAAGGCAGTAATATGGGGGTGGGATGGGGGGCAGGAGGTATCCTGAATTGTGATATGTGTAGTCCAGCATTTCAAGACTAGTTTGTTTCACATTTTAAAAAATAGGATGGTGTTTACACAGGTACAAAAAGCAGTTGACAAAACCCAACAGACTGAGGAAGTGACACCCAGAGGTGGCAGCACGTGGACTCCTGGCATGGAAGCCCCCACCCTCGCCCCCATAACTGGAACTAGGGAAGGCGGTCTATTGTCACAACTTTCACCCCCCGCACCGGAGGTTCCAGCCAGCACAAGGACAGAAATAAAAGGCATAAAGATCAAAGAGAAGTTGTCTTTAGTCACAGACCCAATTTTCTATAGCAAAAATCCTAAGGAATCTGCAAAACAATTCCTACAACTAAAAATTTAGTAAGAGTACAGAAGATCAACATACCAAAAATTAACAGTTATGTACCAGCAGCAACTAAAAAAAACATTTTAAACCAAACTCGGAATACCAACATATTCGGAAATCAGACTTACAAAAGATATACAAGATCTCCATGCTGGAAACTAGAATACTAAAAAAAAAAAAAAAAAAAAAAAAAAAAAAAAAAAGACAAGCTGAATGGACATAAACCATATCCATTAATTGGAAAGTTTTTAGAGTGGTCAACCCTCCCCCAAATGGTACACAGATTCAATGAATTCCCAACCAAAATCTCAATACTGGACACCTTGATTCTTTAATATGTAAAGTTAAAAGACACTGAAACCAAAACAATCTTTAGGGGAAAAAAAAGTTGGAAGACTTGTTACCTTAATTCAAGATTTATCATAAAGCTATGCAATCAAGTCTGCATGGTTCTGGTGTAGAACAGATGAGGAGGTCACCTGAACTAGACACAACATCCAGACATATGGGACCCACACGTGTACAGTCAATGGATTTGATAAATGTAGGAAGGGGATTCGATGGAGAAAATTTTTTTTCTCCTCCCAAAAAGAAAACTAACTATAGAGAAAAAATACCTCACTATAAGGGGATTCAAGATAATGGGTCACATATTTAAATATAAAGGCTAAAATTATCAAATTTTAGAATTTATAGGAAAATACTTGTGAAGTTAGAGCAGACAAATCTTAAAGACCAAAAAGAAAAAAAAAAGCTAAGAAAAAAACATTAAGTTGTACTTTCTCAAAATTAGGAACTTCTCATTAAAAGAGGACATTAGAATAAAAACAAGCATCCAACTGTGAAATACACAGGATAATACAATCTGAGAAAGGGCTGGAAATCAGAACAAGCACAGGCAGAAGACTCACGCAGACCCCGCACAATGAAAAGGCAGGAGTGGTCAAGCAGGTGGTGAGAAGTCCCGAGGAAAGTTCAGATTAGAACAATGAGAACATTTCACTCCCGCGTGAATGGCTAAAACTTTAAGAATTACCACCACCATGTACTGGTGAGAGAGGGCAGAGCAACTGAAACTCCTCCATTTCTGCTGGAAAAATAAAATGGTTCAACTCTGGGAAGAGTTTTGGCAGCTTCTCAGGAGGTTCAACGTTCATTTGCCATGCAATCCAGCAACCCACACCTAGGCGTGGACTCCAGAGAAGTGAAAAGGTGTCCAAAGAGGCTTGAACAAAAATTTCAGTTTTACCCCTAGTGGCCAAGATTTGGAGGATTCAAACGTCCATCAACAGGAGACCTGATGAACTGTGGTGTGTTCATAAACTACTCCTCACCACAAAGAGGGACCTACTGACTAATACACAGAACATGGGTGACCCTCAAAACATCGTTGCACAAGAGAATCCAATACCGAAGAATAGATCATAAAACCTCATTTATATAAAGTTCAAGAACAGACAACGTTGGCCAAGACAGAAATCGGTTTCCCTAAGTTCACTATGTAATGTTCACCTCAATTTTTTAAGTGATAAGAACTGTTAATTCTTAGCATTCATATAGCATTTTTGTTATTTTGTACCTCTTAAATGTCCCTCGCCAAAGTTAACCATAGGTGTATAATAGACTGCTGGTTGCCCCTAAAAATCATTTTCCACCTCTTCCTTAGACACACAGTCCCTAATTATGGCCAACACGTGACCACCTTCCATGCCTCTCAGCTGGGCATAGCCCCACGAGAGGAGAAAGTTAGAGGCTCCTTCTAGAAAGGGAGGTGGGTGCCTCCTTTCCTTCTCCTCTGCCTGGAATGGAAGCATGGCAGCTCGCACCCCAGAGGTTGGCCCAAAGCACCAGAATGAGGGCCACAGCCTGGAGATGCAGAGCAAAGCCGGAGGCAGCCAAGGGACCCAGCCTCCACGGCTTATCTACTTGGGCGTCTTCACGAGAGAGACCAGCTGCAGGTTACTGAAGCCATGCTTCACAGCTGTACCTAATCCTGATGCAGAAAGCAGAACCTCAAAATTAAGCCTCATCTTTATTCTGTTCTCATCATCCATAATGGGCACTTAACTAGATGTCTAGGTTTTATTTTCTTCCTCAAATTCACTTTAAAGAATTTTTTTCTTAAAGCAAAAAAGTTCAACAAATTTGTGATTTATTGTGCCAGTGAGTATGTAAGAGACAAAATGACATTCCCTACGAATTATTTGGTGTCTGTGATTTTCTGAACACCATGGCCAGATGGTTTTCATAGAAAGAGAAGAGTGTATTCATATAGTTCAAAGGTTTGCTTATTTTTTTTGGCCTCAAAAAAAATACTATTGATTGTAACATGCAGCTCTATAGGAAAAAAACCTCGACACTGGAGGCGAAACCGGGTATTTATTACTGTGCGTGTGTGCTCATTATGGCGGTCTCTGACAGGGGTCCATTAAAATCAATTTTTATGTTTCTATGTATTTTCTTTATCTAATGTTCTATAGCATTGTGTTTATTAGCCAGTTAAGACAAACACTGAGCAGGAGTGCGTGGTTTTTCCCCTCTTCTGTCAGAAATAATGAGAACTGCAATTTTAATACCACAACTCACAATCAATGAATAGAGGAAATGTTACATTTCAGAACAAAACATTAAGGAGTGCTTTAAATTTTTTATGTTTTTACAATTAAGAGAAATAGAGTGGAGATCTTTCAAAAGAGAAATACACGTGTCTTGCTAGAAATGGCAAGTGGGAACGTCATGCTAGGACGGCTCTTCCCACCCTTCCTGCCCAGCTGCACACTCTCGGGAAGCCTGACCTCAGCTCTCGCGGGCGGGGGGAGCTCCGGATTCAGCAACTCCAAGACTTCGGTGTAATTCACCTGGCGGGCTTTGAACAATGAAGGGGGTCCTGATTTAAAAAGCACCAGGATTAGGCAACATCTCCCTGTCACCAGAATTTCCAGGGATTCCCACGTTTGTTGAAGAATCAAAATAGTCAAGGCTCATAGCCACTCCGCCGCTCCGTAAACGTGATCAGACGTCCTGGAGCCCTACCAGCTACGGCTGAGGCCCCGCGGTCAGGTGCGCGCGGAGGGCGCCGGGCAGCCGCAGATGCTGCAGACCCACCGACAGTCGTGGCGCCGCCGCTGGAGGGGGCCACCGCGTGGGACGCCGGCCTGTGGCCACGTGTTAGCCCGTGACCCACAGTGCACAAGCAGCAACGCTCGCGTCCTTGCGGCTCTTAACAAGTGCCACACGGGGGGCACTGGGGACTCACCCAGCGTCCGGGGTCTTCCCGCCGCGCAGCCTGATCTCATGCAGTCCCTGCTCACAACCGGAGATCTCGATCTCCCCCAAAGGGCTGTCCATCATCCTGTATCTCATTTCACAGGCCTTGTCCATCCTCCCAAGCACCTACGAGAAAGGTTTTTCAAGCAAGTAAGAAAGTCCACGTGAAAGACTTTGGTCCCTTTCAAAGCACAACAGGCACCCGTTATTTAACACAAAACGTCTTCCGAAGTTTGTCCCCATTCTTGGGATTTAATCATCAAATAGGTCATTTCTGCAATCTACTTAGGGGACAGAAAATGTCATAATTACCCGCAGCAGCCAACTGGTGGTGCGGCTCCCTGCCCCCACCTTCCCGAGGCACGGTGGGCAAGCGCTCCTTCCGAGGGGTCCGGTCCCTAGGACCAAGCTAACCTTGCTTTAACAAAACGTTACCAACTTTTGCATCGGCAGAAACTGAAGCCGTTTGATATACTGAAGGAAATACATTTAAAACCAAGGCACAGTGAAGTGAATTTGGAAGCGGAGGGTGGACGCGGCACCTGCACGGGCAGGCCGTCAGGGGCGCATGCGCGCTGGAATAACGCCGAGCGCCCAGGAAAGCGCACAGCTGACCCCTGAGCCGCGTGCGTGTGAGCTGCGCGGGCTCACTTACACGCGATTCTCCGGCATAGGGCTGTGAACGTTATGTTCTCGGCCCTGTGATTTTCTGAACACGTCCTCGAGCTTCGGTTTTTATCAGAACACAGTACATAATACAAATGACATATAAAACAGGTGTTAATTGGCTGTTATCAGTAAGGTCAACAAGAGGCTTTTAGTAAGGTTTTTCGAGAGTCAACAGTTACATATGGAGCTCAGTGCCCCTAATCCCACGTTGTTCAAGGGTCCACTGTGTATCTAACTTATGTTCAAAGAAATGTACAAACATAAAAACCACCCTATGATGTATCCTGTTAATTTTGGTCAACAGCCAAGGCTGGAAAGAACGAACAGGTACGGCAAGAACAGTGAGAAACCTAAAGGCAAACCCACACTTGATAAAAATCACTCCAAGTGCGGGCAGGGAAAAGGATGCGGAAGCCAAGAGAGGGTTGGGGGGACGGTGGGGACGAGTACCAGCACCAGCCCGCGCCCTTGGAGCTCCTCCTCCCCCTGCAACTCCTCGTCCTGCTCCGGAAAGTGAACTGGAGGGAGGCGCTCCCGCCCTCCACCATGTGACCTTATATGCCCACGTTTCCCAGCATTCCACGCTTGCCTGCAGCCACCTGCGACGAACTGAATAACCACTTCTCTGTCCTGCAGGCACCTCCCATGAACTGTTCACAGCGGCAACCCTGTAAGAATGCTCTCCTCCATGCAGCTTTACACAGGATGGCAGTGCGGTCCGTGCTTACCCCCACGCCACCCAGCACTTAGCCTGGGGACTCTCCTTCCCCTCACCCGGCCTGTCCCCTTGCATACCTGCACCCGATCAAGCACTGGTTCTTACCATTGCCAGCTCCGGCTCAGGTCCCGAGGCCTCATCAACTCTCACATGAGAAAGGAGTTCTTCAGGACCCTCAGTACACCTGAACCTTTCCCTTCCTTCCCCTCCCCCTGAACAGCAAATCAACTGCCAATTACATGAAGGGGCTACAGCAGGGTCAGCAAACTGCAGCGCACCGGCCAGACCCAGCCCCCACCTGCTTTTGTAAATCAGGTTTTGCTGGGACGCAGCCCACCAGCTGTGGCTGCCTTCTCGCTGCTCCAGTGATGGAGAATGCACGGCCCCGAGCACTTACCCCAGGCCCTCGGCACGCCAGGTCTGCTGAACCCCTCAAGGTCCACGCTCTTGCCCACTTCCTGCTCCGTGCCCGCTCAGGGCCTGATGCGTGGGGCCTCAGCTGTATGTCCCTTCGCTGACCGTCCAGCTGCCCCACGTGGCCCAGCATCTGCTTCACTGCAAAACCTCAACACACCCCACTGCCCCCACCCCCAGGCCCTGTTCCCTTCCCTGCCCTTCCGCCTGCTTCTAATGCCACACACTGACTCCCTCAGCTATCTTCCCAGCAGCCAGGAAAGAACTGCATTTATATCCCTTGACGAGGTCAAGCAACATTCCCCAGACCACATGCTATATAAGCAGCACCCCCAAGATTCCACCCTAAGCCTGGGGCTCCAGAGCCTCCCTGTTCAACATCCACTTTTCTGTAGGTATTGACAGGGGTCGGAAGCAGATTCCTCCCCAGTTGCCAGTGAGTGGACATGGGATTGTGATGGTCACCAGACATCAGAGACATTCTCTGGCACATCGTACTCCTTGAACGCCCCAACTTCCATGAATCCCCAGTGCCTGAGGGCACCCCCTCCACTTGGCAACCCACGGGTAGGAAGCAGACGGTGGTCTCCCAGCAATGTCCTGTCATTTTGCAAAAGTCACCTAAACTGAGCCACAAGTGCATTCATCTGTGGGATCAAGGATACCTAAATCGCAGGGTTGGCATGAAGATTACTCGGAACATGTATCTAGACCTGGCTTCCCAGAAGGATTCGAGATTGTTATCCCTGCCACATTGACATTTTAACTATATGCCCTTGACCTTCGTCACACAGAGCATGCTGCTCTCCGCAAAATCTTATCCAACAGCACCAAAATCCTTCCCATTCTTCAAAAGCAAATGGCCACCCCTTCTCCCAGTCCCCCTGGGGGCCTTCCCTCATTCCTCGGAGCCAGAATCAACTGCTGTCTACCCACCCCTCACATCCGTGGACATTTCCCATCACCCTGAGCCACTGGCAGATGATGGAGCAGGGAGTTTGCTACCATGAGTCAGGATTCCACCCAAAACAGATGCATCACGCACATAAGGAGTTTATCAAATATATGTTGAACTAGATGACCAGCATTTCTACCATCCAGGCCAAGAGTCTGGCACAGCATGCCCCAAAGTGTGTTCCAGAAGACTACTCAAAGAAAGGTTCCAGGGCGAGTGAGAAGCCTGGATGTACCTAAACCGTCCTGGGAAACTTACCTGCACACCTGCAGTGTGTTAAAAGCTCTGAGCAGTCTTGCATAGGAACTGGCTTACATTTACCTAGCTCTCACAAACATGCTCACCATGAACCCACGTCTCCTGCCTAGGCCCTGCTTGGAAGCTGTTTCTCAACAGATCTGGGCTCAGGAGCCCTGGCTGAGGCCTCAGATCTGGAGCATGAAAAGCCACAAGCCCCTTTCTCAGGCACGGCTCCTAATGGCAAGCATCAGAAAGTGATACCAGCTAATTTAAGCACAAAAGCAATTTACTGAAAGGCTGTTCCGTAACTCACAGAACTTCTGGGAAGGCTGGAGAAACAGGCTCAGAAAAACGTAGGAACCAAGACTGGCCATAGTCCAACCACAGCCGAAGTGGAACCTCAGGAAACATCTGTGGGGCAGCCCGGGCCTGCAGACACGCAGCTGGTGCCACTGTTGCCCCTGGAAACAGGATGTTGCGGCCCCCATCAGTTCCCTGCTGCCTGGCCCCTGTGTCACTGGCCCCTGATTCAAGGCCTAGGATGTGGACCCAGCACCACTGCACAAACTCAGACTGGCACACATCCCAACCAGGGGGATGGAACACTCGTGGCTCACTCTCCTTCCCAGGACTCTGTTTTCTCACCACTCAAACAGCAGTCGTAGTACTGATTCCGGCACCCTCCCCGCGCTGCTCTGTGGGCCCAACTGCACAGCACCGGGAAGACCGTGAATGGGCTGCTGGGCCAGCGCTCCAGCAGGGAAGGAGCCCCCTGTGCACAGCCAGCTCATACTCCTACTGCAAGGAACGTGTATGCAGATGGGCGTCCAGGAGGGGGGCAGGGCAGGGTGCTGAAGGTGACGGAGGGCCTCTCCCACCTCCACCACATGCAGTGCCGGTCTCTGGAGAGCTCGGTCCCGCGTGCTCCTTGGGGAAAGGGCCTGGCATGTTACAAAGCCTCACCCCAGCGGCCAGACTCTGACCACAGGCGGGAGGGGCTTGGCTGGACTTCAGAGGCTCTTTGCCTCGAACACCATGGGGAGGCTGCCACAGTGGGCTCTGAACCAAATAACGCCCATGCACCCCAGGGCCTGCGTCTCTGAACTGGACCAAAAGGACTCTGAAGCTTGGCCTGCCCACCGCTGTACCAGCCCCAATGCACCCCGCACCCAGCACTGTGTGGTGCTGTCCCTGGTCCGCCTGGTCTAACCTCACGTGTGAAGGGCAGCCCGCCCTCATCACGGTGAGGACCAGCTCTGATGACGCGCATGGCCGCTGGAGGCCACAGGAGGCCACTGGACACCTGTTCACTCACAGAGCAGGGGAAGCTCTAGCCAAATCATGCCAAGAACCAAAAAATGGCAATCAGTCCATAACTGGAGTAACTGGAGTGTTGAACTCTGAGTTCTGAGGGACCGGCCTTTGTCCCTCGTGGCCACACCCAAGCAGCCAGTCACGGGGTTGGGGGACCTCTGAGGGAGTAGGCTCCAGAAACTCTGTTATTGGTTAACAGAACTGAATTCAAACTCTGCGTCCAGCTTCCTGAACGTGAGGATTCGCCGAACCACCTTCCCCAAGATGAAGGCCTGGAACCCACAGCCTCTAGCCTGGCCAAGACCCGGTGGGGCTACACTTTTCCTGTTGCAGCCGGGTGCCTAAGCCCATGAGCAGAACTGCTACTCAAGGATAATCACCAGAACCCAATGCCTGCTACTTTGCCAAAAAAGCAGACGCGGCAATTTAAACAATGTTTTATATTAACCCCACCAGAAGTGGAATTTGAGACTCCACAGAAACCTACACACACTTCCCTTCCTACAGACACAGAGGACGTATGGCAGAGTCCTTCCATGGGCAAAAGTAAAGTGGAGCTGAGTCCGTCCCTCCTAGTATGCAATGGGTAACGTGTCCCTGGGACAGAGCGCTGGGCCGCCTGGCTGGCAGACAGCGTGTGGACGGGAAGCACCAGGCAGAGACACGTGTGTCACTGCACAAGTCCCGGGGGGCTGGCAGAGGGTGGAGGGAGGGCTGCAGCCTGGGTGGGGTGTTGCAGGCACCGGGAGGGCAGCAAGAAGGCGCTTCAATAGCCGGCGCACGCGTCGGGGAGCCCGTGCGTCCCAACACAGGCTG